TCCTGTGGGAGAGAGAGTCTCTTCTTTCCTTGTACAGCCTGACACCGAAGCCCGTAGGGTCCTGTGGCAGAGAAAACTATCCCACACTGGTAACTGTCATGGGGGAGGACCTGACCCTTGCATGAGCTCACAGTAAGGGGTTTCACAATGTGATTAACAAGGCTGTAGTAGATTAGGAAAGGAGATCACCAAAGGGACGAGCAATGGTTGGTGGAAAAGGCTCTAGAGAGCGTAATGGGGTTGGGTAAGATGCAAACTGCTCATTTTTGCCAAGAAGGGGTTTTGGTTAGACATAGGGGTGAGCATGGGGAATCCCAGGGGTTGCAGCTGGTGGAGGGAGCCTCAGGTGTCCTCTGTGATAGAGGCTTTGTGAAGGGAAGTTGGGCAAATGCCTCTGATTGAGATCTGAATAAAAGGCCTTCCAGAGAGAGAATGAAAGAGATTGATTTCATTTAATTTATCAGTTTAATTGACTATACTATGTCTGTAAGCACCCTGATGTGGCACATGTTGCTTAAACCTAGGGGAAGGCATATCTGGGATTTGTTGGGTAGATGAGATTAGCAAAATCCCTATCTGAAACCAGGCTAAATAACATGCAGGGGTTTCACACTGGTGGGACCTGGCCAGTGGGCTTCCCCGTGGCTGTCTCCCAGGGGAGCCAAAAGTTTTTCTGGAAGGGGCTTTTTAGCCAAAAACCTTGGGTTCACTGTTCAGGCAGTGCCTCTGTGATCTTCAACACATCAAGGGAAAGCAGGTGATCTAGTGGTCCCACCTGGCCTTAAAACTGTGAGGAAACTCCTTAAAATCTGTCTGTGCTCATTTGCCTGAGCTCAGCGCCCGGCACAACAGGAGTGATCGTGATGTGAGAGCTGAAATCACATCCCCTGTGAGCCTGATAGCCCGTCCAGCTCCTGAACCCTTGCTCGGTTTTACTTGCCAAAAAAGTGTTGCTGTTACAAACAATAGCAGTGTCAACCATGAAGTGGGGAAGCAGCCAAGGAGACTATCACAAAACACTTTCCCAGGGCTACAAAAGCAAGGGGAGATGAAAGCTGAGCGGGAAGCAGTGTGGGCTCCCGTGGGAGGAGCACCCCGCTGCAGGGCAGGGCTTGTGTCTGGGGTGAAAAAGCCCCTTTTGGAGGACAGTGTGTTTTTGTTAGGTGAGACCCACCCAAGCAACGTTTGCTTTTGGCTTGCATCACGGCCAGCAAAACCCTTGCAGAAGACAGAAAGCAGGCAGTGGGGGAGGATAATGACACTGATGCTATCTACTGTCTTGGTTAAAAAATGGGCATTTTTGTTCATTTGTTGTGTTGGGATCTCAAATAAGCATTGGATCTCACTGCATGCTATTAGTTCTTGTTCTGGGCTGAACCAGCAGTCAATCTGTCCAAGCTACCATGCCACTGGGGAACAGGGAGGCAGGACTGTCAGCATGGTGGTCCCCAGCCAGCATCGCTGGGATCTTTCCCTGGCACAGCTTTGGGGAGAACATGACACTCATCCCTGTGCTGTGCCAGGGTTGTGCCTCTGGGCTGCAGGGGTGTAAGGGGTTCAAACTCACATGGACTTTGGTGGGATCTCTGTGGATCAGCACTGCATTTTTTACGATGTGCTTGCACCTCTCCCTACAAAAATCCAGAGACTTGAAAAGCTGAGCCAGGTCATTTCGCTGTGTTTGCTGTTCCTGTCTTCTATCAAAGCCCTTTGTCATTTACTCAAGTTTCCTCACCCAACCTGCGGATAAAAGCTGGATACCAGACTGACACAGCATGCGAAGTCCTCTGAGCAGGGACATCACATCATCGTGTTAGCACTGATCTGGAAAGGACAAATGCCAGCAGTACTGGCTTCATGTGGAAACCGCAGCTCGAGCCATATGCTCAGCTGGGTTCCTACAGAGGAGATGGAATTCACAGGCTTTTCACTGAAATACGTAATTCCTCTCTCTCCGCATATTTGTTTGTTGTTTTTTTTTGTTTGGAAATTCAAAGAGAGACCCTGCATGAATAGGAGCCAATAAAATCAACTCCAAAACTAATTGAGGAATTTTTAAACTGTTAGCAATGTCCACAAGAAAAGAAGCTGGCTCCAGTGCTAACCAAGCCACCGATACCCTTCCTGTTGAAAGAGGGTTTCCTACAAGCCATGTTGTGCTCTTCCTCCAATGCTGTGTCACATTCTCTGCCTGGGGCACGCACTGCAAAACCCTCAAAATGTATTGACCACAGGCTCCACATCCTTGGGGAAACCATCAGCAGCTCGTTGGGGTAATTATGCTTGGGCTGCTCCCAGTACAAGATTCAGTCTGATATTTGGGCAAGGAGAGACAGTGCACCTCACGAGCTGGGTAAGCCCAGTGTGAAAGGGTTTTTTAGTCTGTGGGGGAGTCGCTATCTCCTCCTACCTTGTGCTGCTGAGCACGGGTCCTGCCAGGCTTCCACCCATGAATGGAGCTAGAGGATACACAAGATGTCACATTGCTCAAAACCCCACCCACACATCTCACCTGACAAGATGGAGGCAACGGCAGCGATGATGAAGGAAACGATGACCCCGGGCCCCGCCATCTCCTTGGCCACTAGGCCGGACACCACGTACATGCCGGTGCCCACGCAGCTCCCGACGCCGAGGGAGATGAGGTCGAGGGTGGTGAGGACCTTGGCCAGCCTGGCGCCCTGGGCAGCGGTGGTCCCCGTGCCCTCCAGCATC